CCCCCTCCTGCGGTGCAGCGGGTCCTGGGGTGCAGCACCGCATGCCTGCTTCCCACCACCCACCCTGTGCCTGCTGTGCTCGCCCCTTCTGTGCAGGTGGGCATTGTGTTTGGAGTGGCTGCCCTGTCGCGCACAAATGCAGCCACCCCCCCTTCAGCTGCGTGAGCCACGCGCTGGCTCATGTGGCAGCCGGTGGCGTCCATGCCTGATCCACCCTGGCAGCCAGTTGATCTTCTTTCTTCCAGGCCCCCCATGCCTTGCCCATGAATGATTGCTTTGCTCTTCTCTGCCTGTACCTCATCTGCCCGCCTTTTCCAGAAGCCTCCCATCTCCCTGTTTGACTTAGCCGTTACAAGCGCATTTGACACACAACAGCAGCACACAAAAAGCATTAAATGGCTGCTGTGTCTGAGCAACTCAGTGGTTGGAGGCAATGCTTCCCTTAGATACGAGGAATTGGGGCACATTGGCGACCAGCCCTCACACACACGTTCCCGCATGCGTGGCTGCTGCTGTGCCGGTGCTTGGCCCTGGGTTGATGTGCTGCTCAAAGAAGTCCTCCACTTCTGACAGGCTGCGTCCCAGCAGCAGGAACCCGTGCCCCCGCCGGATGTGGCAGCGGTGGCGCGGGTAGGGGTGCCGCAGGAACAGCGCCTCCAGGGCTGCCAGGTCCTGGGGGGTGGAGAACAGGGTTTCTTCATCGCTGATAGGGAACCCCTTTTGGCGCGCAAGCTCCAGCCCTGCAGGCCGGGAACAGCGCCTGCTGATGTGACCAGCACGCCGCGTCGACCGCGGGCTTCGCTGGGCACATGCGCCACGTGCGGTCGAGCCAAGGCGCACCGGCACCCGGCAGCGACTGACCTGCCCCATCCGCAAGCGCATGCCCGTGTACTGCAGCAAGAGGCGACTCTGGCCATCCCCAGCGATGCGCCGGGTCGTGGCCGAGCCCTAGCCCCAGCCCCAGGGCGGCGGCATGCAATGGCGCATCGCTAGTTGGGCAGGCGCCATCACGTGCTGACCGGTACTCTGCTTCCCACCGCTGCGCGTCAAAGCTGGTCAGCAGCACCCAGTCTTGCGCTTGGAGCGGCATGCCAGGGCTCTTGCCGCTGCGGCTGACGAGAATGCCTCCGCCAGCGCAGCTGCCAGGGCCGCCTCCGTCCTCTGCATCCGGCGCCTGCGCCCCACCTCCTGCTGTGGTCGCATCCCTTTCCCCGCTGCCGCCGAGGTCTGCCGCGCCCGCTTGGCTCTGCCCCAGGGCTGACCAAACGATGCCGCAGTTGCCGCCCACCAACCCATCGCCCAGCACGGGGGCCATGCCGCACGCCTCTAGGCGATGCATGAGCGACGCAAGGCGAGCCAGCGCACGGGGCACGTCTCCAATAGCCAGGTGGCCCACCCGCCTGGCAGCAAACTTTATGCGGACACTGTCTGGCCCGAGCGCCTCTGCCATGTGTCCGCAGCGCTATGCCAACTGTGCCAGCCGAGCTGTGGAAGGAACCCAGCCGGGTGACCCGCCGCAGCACATGCGGCGGCGGCGCCGGGCTAGTGGAGTCGACACCTCCCCGCCCCCAGGTCGAATGTCCACGTGCTCACCAACACTCCCCGGCACTGTGCACGGGGTGGAACTCCCCACACCAGACAAGCAGGCAAGGAACACACCGGAGGTTGCAACAAAGCGGGCCCGTCCTTTGGAGGCAGCTGCGACATCGCTGCCGCCAGCAAAATTGCGTATTAATGGAGCGGGAATGCCGCCAGTACAGAAGTGTAAAACAGAAGTGTACCTTTCCGTGCAGGTGCGATTTTTTCGAGTATCTCCAGAAACCCAGGGCATGCCTGCGTGTTTGCTGACGAACCAAGCTCCGACTTTGGCTGGAGCATGCGAGGACCGGCTGGAAGTTCAAGAGTCAGCGGAGCCAGCAGTGCCCGAACAATGTTCCCAGCATGAAAGGCATGCAAGAGAGGGCCTTGGGCAATGTTATTAACGTAGTAGCCCAAGGTTTACCGGCTTTTCATGCAGCGTTCAAGCAATTCCACGTCACTGGCGGACCGTATCGCCCAGTGGGCCCAAATCAAGTTCGGTTTTGGGCCAGCGCATGTCTCACAAAAACTTACAGTTGCTGTGTGTTTCGGTTCCATCCACGCCAGCCGCTCGAGGCGCTAGTCCGTGGGTCCACAGGTGCGCGGTTCGCTGTCGGGCTTGCCGGCCGCCTTCCTGCCCAAAAGTCGCGCTGTTCAATCGCATTGAGCAGACTCCGCTCCGCAGATGCCATCTGGCGAAGCGTCCAGTGCGCTTGCGGGGCTGCTGACCGCCGCAGCCGCCCCCTTTGCAGGCTTCCCCAGAGGGCACCCAAATGGCCGCAAGCATCCACCGCCTACTGCCCTACGCCATTCCCACCGTAACCGCCCTGAGCGACGCGGCGGCATCGAGCTCGGGCAACCCTACCCCGGCTCCACAGGCCCCATCCTCGCGCGTGAGGGATTGGCTGGATGACTGCTTCGCGGAGGCCGAGGCGCGCCTTGACTTCTCCCATGTCGTGCGAGCCTCTGGCGGATCCTCGGCGGCGGCGCCGCCCAGCAGGCACACCCTCGACGCATGGGTGGTGCTGGCCCACATGGCTGGCCCTGGCCCAGCCCCAGAATTGGGCGGAGCACAGAGCCAGCAGCCCACCCGTGCCCACACTGCAGTCGACTGGTGGCCCAGCCAGCAGGTCAGCTGGCTCACTTGGCCCGTGCCTGCTGGCCTTCCCCACCCTTGCTGCCATTCAGCTGCCTGTGCGAAACCAGGCTGATCAGCCCCACCTCCTATGCCGCCCTGCAGTTGAAGCCACGCAGCGCCACGCAGACCATCCTGGATAGCGCCGCAGCCGCGGCACTGCCGCCCCAGGCGAGGTCTGCAGCCTGCCTGCTGACCTAGCAGGTGGCATGGTGCTTTGCGTCTGCCAGGATGCCCGCCACCCGAAGCGCTGCCACCAGGTGCAGTGCGGTCACGACCCACCCTGGCGACAGATGTGCTCCCTTGCAAATACTGGAAGTGCTCAATTCTCCTTTGCCACACCTCCAGACGCTGTTTTTGACCGGTCGGTGCCAATGCTCGGGCCGGCTTTCCAGCCAACAACTGCCAATGTCCCTTTCATGCTTTGCCCCTCTGACATTTGACTCCTGTGCCCCCTGACTGCCTTCCCTCACACTGACATTTGACACCTGTGCTCTCTGACTGCCTCCTGCCCTCATCGACATTTGACACCTGTGCTCTCTGACTGCCTTCCCTCACACTGACTGACTGCCTTCCCTCACACTGACATTTCACAATTCAATCAGCGTCATTCGACTTGCTCACCGAGACTGACACACACACAACTCGGCCGTGCCTCTTAGCACGCCACGACCGCCTCTGTTACCGCGGCTGGAAGCCACCATTTGGCCCCACCCCACCAGCGAATAATGCAGGCTGGCTCTGTTCTCCCACCAGCTTTCCTGTTCACCTTGTCCCTCTGTACATATCTGGGCTTTCCACTGTGTTTTTCTCATCTCATCCTTTCCTTATCGGCATCACAGCCTTCTTGTACCCGACGGAATGGAACGCTGGATGCTGCGCAGCGCTAGCACCCTGTTTCTCCTGCCCACCACCACTTGGATTTATCCTCCCCACCTTGTCGTCCTTGACACCTGTCTTGCCCCAGTCCCCCCTCTAGCTTGAACATGGCGCCGAGCGCACACCCTACTGCCTTTGCCAACTGCAGCAGCCAAGAGCGTTGTGGCGACACCTTCTGCCCACCGGCATTGATTTTTCCTTGCATTCTACCGATCCCTCGCACAACGGCTGATGCATGCAATGAATCCTTGGCGCTCACCAACAAACAAATCGAGTCGCCTTCAACTTGCCTGCCCCAGTCTCATGGTGTACTTAGCGAATGACTTCGAGCGCTCTCGATCTAATCACAGGAAAGCCAAATGTAAGCAAACAGCGATCACAGCTGTACATGGAAGCGGAAGGTAGAAGGGGCAGCGCCGTGTCTGTTGAGCGAGTCCACAGGGCGGGAGTGGGCCTCTGGCCGTAGTCAGTGTGAGCTGCTCGGAGGCTGCTGGCCAGGCAGCCGGCTCCTGAAGGAAGCCCCCGCTGCCTGAAGGCGCATGCGCAGCGCCGCAGCTGCGGACACCAAGCGCTCTGCAGCGTGGCTGGTCCTGTCATGCAGCTGGCCAGACGCCTGTTGCAGCCAGGCCTGGCTGGCGGCCGTGGAGCTCTGCACTGCCGCAGCGACCTGCTGCGCTGCTGCCTGCCCCACCACCACCACCTGCTGCATGCGTGTTGTCGACGCACGAGGGGCTGCCATCACAATGCGGCGCGCCTGCTGCCAGGCATCAGCCACCTTCTCCAGGACTGTGTGCGGCTCGCCCAGCTGTGCAGCTGCAGCAGGGGCAGCGGGCACCGGGGAGACAGGGAGCGGCAGGTGGTGAGGCTTCTAGGGAGGCAGCGGCTGGGGACAAGTTGGTGATGAGGGTGGGGCAAGCCCTCATCAGCAATAGGCCAGGGACTGAGGAGCCCCCAGGGCAGGCTGTGCCATGGGACTGCCACCAACCCAGTTCCATGCCTGCCTGCCTGCCCAGAGAGCGGCAGTGTCAACCACATTTGGCAGGTGCTTACAGCAGCGGCACAAGCAGGAGCAGCAGAGGGCATCAGAGGCGCAGGTGACAGGTCAGCATGGCCCTCAGCTCAAGGGAAGGAGAGCTGTGCGAGGAAGCAGTCAGCTGAATGCTCAGCCTGAGCTGGCTGCCACCCGCACTGGTGCCAGCCTCAGCAGCAGCAGCAGCGGCAGAGTCGGTGACGGCAGCTGGGCGGGCAGCAGCGGGCGCACCTGCCACCGCGTGCTGCGCCTGCATGCGGGCGTCATGCCTCGCTACAACCGACTTGGCTGACGCCAGCGCTGCCTTCTGCGCCGCCGCACCGCCCTCGGCTGCCGCCTCAGCCGCCTGCGCCGCTGCGCGCGCCACCTCAGCAGCCACCCTGTGCTCCACCGCCGCCTCGGCACGCGCCGCTGCGGCAGCGGCGCGCTGCGCCGCGCTGGCGGCGGTGGTGGCAGCATCCGCAGCGGTGGAGAAGGCGGTGGCGGCACGCTGGGCATGCCGCGCAGCAGCAGCAGACGCTCGGTGAGCGGCGGCGGCGCGCCGGGCCAGCGCTTTGGTGCTCATCTGCCGCCGCAAGGTGGCTGCTGGCGCCATAGCCGCCTCCGCCTCCGCCTCCCACCGCTCCTCCATCTCCATCTCCTCCCGCAGCCTGCTCAGGCTGGCACGATCCTGGTCCTGCCCCGCCTCCTCCCCAGCCTCCAGCCACCGCTGCTCTGGCCTGGCCTCGGCCCCGGCTCCCTCCGCTGTGCCCGGCACGTCCAGCTGCGCCTGCCCCTGCTGCCCCTGCTTGTGCATGGGGCCTGGCTCCTCCTGCACCAGTGCCTGCTCCTCTGCGCCGCCGCCACCGCTGCGCTCAGTGCCGCCACCTCCGCCATACTCCTGCTGCCAGCGCTGCTCCTGCTGCGCCTCCACCCGCTCATACAGCTGCTGGCGGCGCTGCTGCAGGCGGCGCATGCGCTCCAGCGCGGCTGCGCCCTCGGGCGTGCGGATCGGGAACTTGCGGGCCAGCTCGGCGGCGTGGGCAGCATGGGAGGCGGCGGCAGAGGAGGGCAGCTGCTGCTGGCCCGGCTCCGGCTGCTGCTCCTCCTGGCCGGGCTGGCGGTCGCGGTGCTCCAGCGGCTGCTGCGGCTGCTGCTGCTGCTGGGGTGGGGTCTGCGCCGCAGCCGGCTCCGGCTCGTGCGTGCCATGCCGATCCCAAGCTTGACCGCCGCTTGCCCTGCCAGCCACACCCGATGCAGCCGCCTCTGCGCCTGCGTGCGTGGCAGCGCCGGCGTGCATGCCTCCAACCTCTGCGTCGCCCGCCACATGCTGCAGCCGCTGGTGGCTGCTCTCCTCCTCCTGCTGCTGCTGCTGCTGCTCCAGCTCCTCTTCCGTGTCCAGCTGGTGTGCGCTGTGCACGATGAGGCTGCTGGCATGGTCGTGGTCGCGCTGCTGCCGCGCCTCGCCCACACCCTGGCCCCGCTCCTGCTCCGGTGCATGCTGCAGGCCCCAGACCCCGCTGCGGTCCCCCCTTGGCACCGCGGCGCGTGCAGCTGCTGCCACCTGCGGCACATTGCCCACGGTGATGGGAGCGCCCAGCGGGTGCTGCTGCCGCCAGCTGCCGTACCGCTGCAGTGCCAGGGCCGTGGCCACGCCCGTGCCCGCCAGCAGGCTGGCAAACAGCAGGTTGCCTGCACAGGTGCAGGGCGAGCGGGGAGGTCAGCGCTCGACACAGGCACCCAGGCAGGGTAAGGCAGGCGGCAGCAGCCATGCAGGGGGCAGCAGACACCAGCTGCTCGCACACACCAGCCAGCCTCCAGGGTGCGGCGCCAGGCGGGCGCTCCAGCTCAGCATCCCAATCGATGCTGCTGGTGCTGCCGCCGTCTTGGGGACCGCCGCCGCCGCCATCAGCGGCTTGGGCGTCTGGAGCATCCCAGCTGAGAAGTATGCCGCCGTTGTTGCTGCTGCTGCTGGCACCTGCACTGGCTGTTGTCGACGCGGTTGCCGCCGCCGCTGGCACAGCGGTGGATTCCGCTGTTGGCTCCATGCCAGCTGGTTCATCCTGCTGGCCGTCACCATCCCTTGATCGGAATGTCAGCACCTGGCTCTGACCATCCTGCTGCACGCTGCCGCTCCCGCTGGTGGCGTCCCCGACGCTGGTGGTCGCCACGGAGCCCTCTCCCTGCTGCTGCTGCTGCTGCTGCAGCCTACACCACAGGCTCTGAGCTGCTGCACCAGCATGCCCGATCAAAGAGCCCACAGCGCCCCGCAGCTTGCTGGCCCGTCCGGAAGCGGCGCCGCCGCCGCCGCCGCCACCGCCGCCATCGGCGGCGCTGCTGCTGCTGATGGAGAGCCCGCGGGGCCTGCGCCGCTGCAGCCTGCTGCAAGGCAGCACTCCTCCACGCCTGTGACGGCGGTTCAGAGGTTGCCCCAAGGGCTCTACACCCACAGGAGTGGCGATGGTGTCGAACGCGTTCATGTGTCGTCAATGGGCGCTGCCCTGGTGTCGGCGACTTGAGAAGCCAACGAAACTGCTGCGGGTTCAACGCTTTAGCTGTATTACTCTGCATGGGTGCCTGCCGAGCTGGCAATGCAAATTTTGTAGGTGTGAACGGCCTTGGAACCTCACTTTGCCAGCCAGTGGCAGGGAGCTGGTGAACGGGGCATTCCCCTCAGGCGCTTGTGCATGCTGGCAGTTCGATTGCTCCACCTGCTTTCGGCTCTGATCGCGCCGTAGCTCCTCGCTCCGAGCTGACCACCTCCGCCTATTAGCCGGGTGCGAGCCGCGGAGCTGTGCCCTAGCGGGCTGACCGCCGCCGCTGCCTGCCGCCAACCTGCTGCCCTCGGGCGAGCACCAGCAGTTGCAGCAGCAGACGCAGCAACCGCCTGGCCAGCAGCAGCATGCTGGTGCTGGCGTGAGGCAGCAGCAGGGCCCGCCGGGCCAGGGGAGACAGCAGGTGCAGCAGGGTGGTGCCGCCGCCGCCGCTGCTGCCGCCGCTGCCTCCCCTCTACCATTCCTGGGGTCTCAACAGGAGGTGCAGTTTGTCGGCCAGCCGGCAGCGGCAGCAGCAGCCCTTCCGCAGCTGCCAGTGCAGGGGCAGCATGCTGGTTGGACTCATGCCGAGCTGTTGGATGCCAGGTGAGGTGATGGGCGGGTGCTCTGCTGAGGCTGCTCAGGCTCACACATGCTCGGAACCGCCTGCCCGCCTGTTTGCCTGCACGAGGATGCGGCAAGAAGTGCATGCAGCCCTGCCACCCAGCCCATGCGGCGCTTCTGGCTGCCCGTGCAGGCGCGTCTCCGCGCAGGCTGCAGCTGCCTGGCTGGAGCAGCTGCAGTGGAGGGGGCTGGAGGAGGCCAGGTGGCCCCTGCTGGGTGGGTGGCCCCATGCGCCCGCTGCAGCCGCCCCGCTGCTTCCCCGCTCCTCGCTGTGCTGTGGCTTCGTGGGTTGCGCTTTCTCTTGCAGCAATTGCAGCTGCCGCAGCTACTCCTCACCCCTGCTGCTGCTGCTTCCGTTGCATGTGGCACCCCCTCGCCTGCAGAATCCAGCCAGCCGCGAGGCAGGCTGAAGCGGCGGCTGGTGCAGCGCCGCTGGGGCGTGCGCCTCGACAGGTGTCAGCAGCCCAGGCAGGATGGCGGCCAGCGTGGCTCGCCTGCAGCGCCTGTTCCCAGCACCCAGGTCAGGCACGCAAAGCGACGCAGCGACGTTGAGGAGCAGGCACCGGGGCAGGAGCAGCAAGGAGGGCAGCCAGGCAGCAAGCGACGGCGCTCCGCGCGGCTGCCACGCCAGCTCACCACCGCCGCATCCCCTGGCGCGGGCGACGCCGGTGGCGCTGCCGCTGGCAGCGGTGTGGAAGCAGCTGCAGCGGCGGGGCAGGTGGAGCTGCCTGTGGTGCAAGGCGTTCCTGCGGGGCTGGTGCAGCAGCTGGCGCTGGTGCCGGGTGGCCGCCCCAACTGCGGCTGCTGCGCGGCGTGTGAAGCGGCTGCCGGCGTCCACGGCGGCGGCGGCAGGGGCTGCCAGGTGCTGGCGGCGTTGAAGTGCTGGGACGCGCTGCTGCCGGGGCTGTCACTGTCCGAGCTGCAGCAGCTGCGGCAGTCGCAGCACCGCTGCGGCCGGTGCCGCGCCTGCATGCGGGATGCGCAGGGCGGCGGCGGCGGCGGCAGGAAGCGCGGCGGCGGCGGCGGCTCCGCGGCCTGCCTGGCGCTGTCTTGGGTGCGCGTGAAGGCAGGCCAAGTGCAGCAGAAGCTGGAGCAGCTGCAGCAGGAGCGGGAGCAGTGGGGGGCGCAGCAGCGGCAGCAGGGGGAGGGGCCGGCCGGGGCTGGCGCCCCGGCTGCGGCAGCTGCGGGTGGCGCGGGCGGCGGCCCCGCCTTATCATCCAGCTCTTCAGACTCCGAGGGCAGCAACCGGTCCCGCCTGTGGCTGCGGGACCAGCGGCGGCGCCAGCCCGACAAGCAGTACCTACAGCCGCTGCCCACCCCCGACGGCAGCCTGCCGCTGCCGCTGGTGTTTGGCGTGCCCTACCGGCGCGTCAGCCAGCTGGCTGAGGGCTGGCGCGAGGGGGAGCCGCCCCGCTGCAGGGTGTGCCCCGGCTGCCAGCAGGAGGAGCGGGAGGAGGGCGAGGCAGGCGGCAGCCGCGCGCGCGGCGGCGCCCCGCGGTGTGCCGCCGCCGCAGCGCTGCAGGCCTGGGACAGGCAGCTGGGGCCTGTGACGGCGGCGGCGGCGGCGGCGCTGGTGGCGCTGCCGCCCGCGCAGCAGCTGCGGGCGCGGTGCGGCTGCTGCCGCCAGTGCAAGCAGCCGGAGGAGGCGGGGAGCAAGCGGCAGGCGTGTGCCACAGGTGCGCTGCCTTCCCACCTTCTCGCCTTGTGCCCAGAGCCGTGCCTCGCCCCCTGCCCTTCATGCCTGCACACGCTGGCGAGGAGTGGCCCCCCACCCACCCCACGTGCCCTGGCGCCTGCCCCCTGCCCCCTGCAGCGCGCCGGCTGCGGGCGGGCACCCTGCCGGGCCGGTTGAGGCCTGCCGGTGCGGAGCGGGGGGCCAGCCCTGCTGGGGATGGGTCCGGCAGCGGCGCCGAGGATGCCGGCAGCGGCAGCCCCTCCCTTGGCGACGACAGCCCAGGCAGCAGAAGCGAGGAGGGCAGCCAGGGTGGCAGCAGCCGGCTGAGCGGCAGCACCGGCAGGGGCAGCGCCAGCTGGCAGCCGAGCGGCAGCCGGGCCGGCAGCGGCGCGTACAGCAGCCAGGCGGGCAGCAGCGGCACCGGCAGCAGCTCGGACGCCGAGCCCGGCGCTGACGAGAGCGGCAGCAGCAGCAGCAGTAGCAGCGAGGGGAGCGAGGAGGAGGATGCTCGCTGGCTGCCCTGGGTGTCCCACTTCTTGCCCACCCCCCAGCAGCAGCAGGCGGCCGCGGAACAGCGCAGCGGCGGCGGCGGCGAGGCGGCTGAGTTGGCAGCCGCGCGCCGGCTGCTGCGCCGCCGCCGCGAGCGCGAGCTGCGCCAGCGCACCGGCCGGGCGGACCCCCGGCGGGACGCGCCGTACCGCTGGGACGTGCACGGGCGCACGGTGTCGCATGCTGCCGCCTCCCGACGCCTGCACCGCATGCTGGCAGAGGCTCGGTGCCTGGCAGCGGTGAGTGGGTGGGGGGCAGGGCAGGGCAATGGTGGGCAGGCAGGTAGGGCGGCAGGCTGGGTGGGCCCACGGGCTGGGCCTGGGCCCGCCGCTGCCCGGCGCTTGCCTGCTCGGGGGGCCCGTGCCTCGGGAGGCCAGCAGGCACCCGCCTCCTCTCCTGCCCCACTCGCCCCACCCTGCCACCCTCTGCTGCAGGAGATGGGCGTGCCGCTGCCTGCGGTCACCGACTGGCGCTGCATCGCGCAGGTGCCGGCGCCCCCGGCAGCCGCGGGCGGCGACGGCGGCGGCGGCGCGGGTGCGCCCGCCGCCGCCACGGCAGAGTGCGGCCACCGCCACTCGATCAGGCGGCGGAAGCGCGGGTGGCACCTGTGGCAGGTGGGGCTGCTGGCCGCGCCTGAGCCTGAGCCAGGGGGGGGGTCACCCAGGCTGCTCAGCGTCTCATTGGCAGCTGCTGCCAGTTGAAGGGCCCGTGATCACAGTCTGATGTGCTGCCCTGGGCAGTGCGCCCACGCCCCACACCTGCCCTCCACGCCCCGCCTCCCATGACCCGCCCCCACATGCCTGCACCGTGATGCAGTGCGCACGCTGCGGCGCACCCCGCTGGGACGGCCCCGGCTGGCAGCTGCAGCAGCGGCTGGCGGCCGCGCTGCAGGCCGGGGCAGCGCTGAGCACGGCCTTGCTGCCGGCCCGCGGCAGCGACGCGCCGGCGGCGGTGGCGGCGGCGGCTGCGCAGGCGGCCCTGGCACGCCTGCGTCGGGAGGCGGCAGCGGGGGCTGCTGCTGCCGGAGGCAGCGGCGGCGGCCGGGCCGGCGGCGGTGACAGCAGCGACGATGAGGAGGCGGCGGTGGCTGCTGCCGCCGCGGCCGCGGGGCTGCCCAGCTTTGAGCAGGGGGACGAATTTCGCAGCCTGGCTGAGATGGCTGGAGACATGCTGGCAGAGAGCAGTGAGTCGCAGCCCGCCGGCCCCCTCCATCTGCACGCCCGCCTGCCTGCCCGCCTGCCAGCCCTCACCGTGTCTTGTGGCCTGCGAGTGCCTCCTGCTGCTGCTGTTGCTGCAAAGTGCAGCGGCTGAACACGCCCTCTTGCCATTGCTGCCGCCCGCTGGCCCCGCAGGGAGGGCGCTGGATGGCGCGGCTGCGGCCGCCGACCAGCGGCAGCGCCTGACGGCCGAGCAGCGGCGGCGGTGCCGGGAGATGCGGCGCAGCGGGCTGGGCAGGGTGAGTGGCAGCTGCCCTGCGTGCAGGCTGGGGGCATGCTGCAGCGGGTAGGCAGCGAGTCGTGCTGCTCAGCGGCAGAGAGTGGTGTGGCCTGATGCCGATGCTGGCGCCGCTGCCGCTGGTGCAGGCCGCAGCAGGGCTCGAGTCTTGCGCCATGGCGCTGGTGGAGGAGCAGCAGGCGCTGCTGGCGCTGCGCAGGCGCGGGCAGCAGCAGCAGCGGCAGCAGCGGCAGCAGGCGCCTGCGCCGTGGCAGCTCCCGCCGGCGCCCTCCACCACGTCTCGCCCGGGCGCTGGTGGCGCCGCAGCTGCGGCGGGTGCAGGCGGGGAGCCAGGCGCCCGCCTTGAGCAGCCGCCGCCGCAGGCGGAGCGCGCCCATCAGGGGCAGCGGCAGCCGCTGCCTGCCATCAGCGAAGGCCAGGAGGAGCAGGGGGAGCAGCAGGAGGGGGCGGGCGGGCAGGAGGGGGAGGGCCGTGGCGCGGCGCCCGCCGGACGCCCGCTGGGCTACGATGAATTCATGCATCGCATCGTGCCGCTGCTGGGCAGCTGGGGTGAGGCGCCGCCCAGCCCTGCCCTGCTGCTGCTGCTGCTGCTGCGAAGCATGCGCCTGGGCCGAGGCGCAGACGCGGTGCCAGGCCTGGCTTTGGTGGCAGCGCGTCGCATGATCCACCAGACCGCCTCCCGCGCTGTGCAGGGTTTGCCACCGATGCGGCCGGCAGCGAGGGGCGGCGGCAGCAGCGGCGCCTGCTGCGGATCTGCGACCAGCTCTTCTTTGAGCCTCCCGGCGGCAAGGGCTGGGATGAGGCGGCGCTGGCGCACCTGCGGCGGCAGCTGCAGCAGCAGCCAGGCGACCGGCGCCCGCAGCGCACGCCGCTGGCCGGCGCGGCGGCGGCGGCAGCTGAGCCCGCGGCAGGCGGGGCCGCAGCGCGGCTGAGGGACGCCTCGCTCCTTGCGGTCGCCCCAGCTGCCAACCCCACTGGTGCCGAAGGCGAGCAGGCACTTGCCGCCGCTGGCGGGCCAGCACCCACGCAACCGGGCTGCCCCGCTCAGCAGGCGCCGCACCCAGCTTCGCCGCCGGCGCCGGCCCCGCAGCAGCAGCAGCAGCAGCCGCAGTCGCCTATGCAGCCCCTCGGCGCCTTTGACCTGCTGCTGCTGCAATCCTCGCAGCAGAGCCAGGGCGCCCAACACTCGCTGCTCCCCAGCAGCCAGGTAGGCAGCCAGCCGCCGCTGCTCATGAGCCAGGCCGGCGACAGCATGGCCGCCCTGGCCTCGCAGCAGAAGGCCAGCCCCGCAGCGGCGGCAGCCGGCGCCGGCCTCCTGTTGGGCACGCAGGCCAGCCAGCCAGACCCGCAGCAGCAGCAGGCGCTGCAGCCCCAGCAGCAGGCGCGGCGCGAGGTGCTGGAGCACTGGCGCCAGCAGCAGGAGCGGCGGCAGCAGCAGGAGCAGCAGCAGCAGCAGCGCCAGCAGCAGCAGCAGGCGGTGCAGCTGCCTGTAGCGCCAGTGCAGGCCCCGGATGAGGAGCAGCTGGGGCGGCACGCCAGGTGGCGGGGCCACCAGCTGGCGGGAGCCAGCGAGGCCACGTGCCACTATGTCTGGCGCCTGCTGGGTGAGACCTCCGCCATGCTGCCCAGCTCTGGCCCTCGCTACCGCCCTCGCTACTGCCGCGCTATCGCCTCGCTCACGGCTGCTGGGCTGGGCCACCTGCTGCTGACTGGCGGCCGCGTGCCTGCCCTGCCTGCTGCCCTACCCCCTTGCAGAAAGCCTGCTTGGAGGCCTGGTGGAGCTTCATGGCAGGCAGGAGCGCCAGGCGCGGCAGCCCAGGGCGCGGCGGCGGGGAGGCAGCGCCTCGGTCCGCCTGCCGCCGCCGCCTGCGTCCCGGATGGCCGCCGCCGCCCACAGCGGCGTGCAGAGCGGCGACGAGCGGCAGGCTGCAGGGCCAGGCGCCGCCGTCGGCTGGCTGGCATGGCACCCGGGCATGGCAGCAACTGGCGGCGGCCACGAGGGCAGCGGCGATGCGGCGGTGCGGCTGCAGCCCCCTGCGCCGCCTGCCCAGCGGGCCGCGCTGCTGCGCAGCATCCCCAGGCAAGCGGTGCCTGCACGCGTGTGTGTGCGTGTGTATAGTGCCTGGCGGAGAGGCTTCAAGGTCAGGCACTCACGGGCCAGTGTCGCCCCATCTCACTGCAAGCTGCTGCCGCCAACCGCTGCTGCAGGTTCAAGCCGCTCACAGAGTGCCAGCCGCGCCGCGCCCTGCCACACCGCACGCTTGCGGCGCTGCTGCCAGCCAACGACTTGCCCAGCGCCGCGGCGGGGCCCTTGCCGCCCACCCTGCGCGGCAGCCGCAAGCGCAGGCAGCGAGGCGCGGGTGGCGGCGAGGAGGAGGAGGCAGAGGGCTTGGCGGAGCTGCGGCGCCTGGTGGCGGCGCACCCGCAGCTGCTGCTGCTGCTGGATCACCCCAAGCTGCAGCGGTGCGGCGCCTGCAGCACCTGCGCCGCCGCCGGGCAGCCGCAGGCGCGTGGCTCCAAGCCTCGCCAGCAAGGCGCGCGCACCTGCCTGCTGCACCAGCGCTTTGTGCGGCACTACCGCCTGAAGCGGGAGCGGCAGCAGCGGGAGGAGGAGGCGCAGCGGCGGGCGCAGGCGCGGCGGGCGGCGGGCGAGGCGGAGGCGGGTGGGGAGGAGGCGGCGGGAGCCCAACGAGGAGCCCGCGGGAGGCCTGGTGGCGGCGATGGCAGCGCGGGGCAAGGCCTCAAGGTGCTGGCGGGTGTGCCTGAGGCAGCTGGCCTGCGGGCAGCGGCGAGCTACAGGCTGCTGCACCCCGGCTGGCGCCCGCCCTTCCTCACAGAGCCTCGCCTGGCGGCGGTGGCTGCCGCGCTGCCCGCCGCGGCTGCCGCGCTGCGCAGCATC